TCATCACTAAATTTCCTTTGTCTTCAATTATCAATGCCTTCAGAATCACTTTATAGTCAAAAAAATTTCACTTCCAACTTCAAAAATGTATTTATATTATTAAGTTTCTTAACTATCAACGCCATCTAATTCTTTGACTCTTTTTATTATTTACCATTCTTTTCCTATCGTCATTCATGATCTTTAAGATCGATTTTTCTATACTTCAATTCATTATATATCAGTTTTCATATTTTGGCTCTAGAAAACTGAAATTACGTCTATACAATGATTCTTGAATAATCATTGAAGTTAACAATCATACTTATTTTCATTCTCTTTGCTGTAACATCGAGTACTTTTGGTAGGTCTTGTATATGTGTATTATATTATACTCTTGTATATCAATATAAGAGCTAGAGAGCCAATTGCTAAACTCTAGCTGAAGAGGCACGCGATGTCGCGAAGTTGTTGCTGCAAAAATATAATCTGCTCCACGTTCCGTCTCCACATCCTAAAACAAATAATAATAATAATTTAAATATATGTATTTTTGATATGATTTAAAATTACATTCAATTTTTTATAAATATAAATTATATATATAATTTATAAATATAAAATAATTATTGGATATAAATTTTTTATTAGCATATAATTATAAGAAATTAAATGTTTGATATAAATAATATAAATGTTTTTTATAATTTTCATTATAAAAAATAAAAATATTTGATATTATCAGAACAATTCCAGCTAAATGTCAAATTTTTTTTTTTATTATTTCACATCAATATCAAATGAAATTTTAGAATTTTAATTGATATATTATTTAATTAAAAATCAATAAACAAATATTAAAAACTAATTTTATAATATATACTTATATCAACAAGAGTTGAATTTTATTGTGAAATTTATTAAAGAATTAATTTGAAGATGACTTGTAAAATATGATTCAGATTTTTGAATAATTTAATTATTTTATTTAAAATAATTTGATATAAATTAAATATGAAATAAATCATTTTTAAAATTTAAGAAAACAAAATGAACAATTAAAATTAGATTATTATACTCTATATTGAATAAAAATATTTTTTTATAATATTATAAAAAACATTAAAATAAATTTAATTAAAACTAAATAAACTATATTGTTTAAATTTATGAATTGAAAAATAGAAAAAAAAATTACAGATTACAGAAATTTATTTTATGTTTTAGTATATTTTGAAATTTAAATTATTTTACATAATTTATATTTTATATTTATATGCATAGTAAATTTAGTTAAAAATTAAATAAATAATTTTTTCTAAATTAAAAATTAACTATGTATTCAAGTAATGATGATATTGAAAAATACAAAAAACAAATTAAAATTGATTAATTTATTTTTTGAGAAATCTATTAATGATTAAAATTCGATTTTTTTGCTTTAGAATATTAAATTTTACTTATAATTTATTTATCATAGAAATATAAAATATTACAATTTGCAATCATATTTTTATCTTTTTTTAAAATTTAAGAAATTAAATATAAGTGATTAATCAATAGTAGTTTAATCATAATAGTTTTTTAATAAATAAATAGTTTATAAACATGTATAAACAAAAAATATAAAAAAAATAATGATTTTTGTAATGAATTCATATATTAATATATTCGTGAGACATCTCTAAAAAGTTTAGGACCAAAACAAATATAAACAATTCCAAATGTTATTATTAAATATCAGTTAAGAATTTTATTTATTAGATATAAAATAATATAAATAAATATGTAAAATTTATAATATTATACAAGTACACACGACACGACTTGATAAAGAAGAAAATAGAAATAAATCTATCTACATTTTGATTTATTTAACAAGAACTTAAATTGTTTGTAACTTAATAAATAAATCTTAATTGATATTTTTATTATTATTCTTTATATAATTTTTTATTTTAGCTTTTAGAATCGATCCTTTAAAATATGTCACGAATATGTTTAATTTGAAAAAACTAATATTATTCATTTAAATATTATATCATAATTAATTTTCAAATGAATGATAAAATAATAATTTTCAATTTTCAAAAAAATATAGCCAAATTTCGATATTGAAAAAAGATAATGTAAACATAAATCCAAAAACTTTTTAAAACATGAACATATCGAATAATATACAAACTTTCTTAAAATTTATTTAATCAAATTGTTAAAATCATTATAAATGATTTCCATTTATAATATATCTTTTTATCACTAAAATTGTTGAAAATATCCAAAAATTTCGAATTTTCTTACATGTAATACGATTTTTTTAATGTCATCAAATTCAAATTTCAATCAGATCAACTGTTATTAAGCTAAATTTTTAAGATATTTTATCATCTTTAATCTGTATTAAATGTGGGAAGTTGATTTACCTATTAAACATTTAGAAAAATTAAACATAGAAACTGATTTACTACAATATAAGATATCAATATTAAAATAATTTGTTTTTTAGCTACCAATTTATTATAATATTATATATAAAAAAAATATTATATATAAATATATATATATAAAATATA